CACACACACACACACACACACACACACACACACACACACACACACACACACACACGTTCGTGCGTTTGTGTGCGAGGACGTATTTTCCATTTGAGCTGAGCAGATATTTATTTCATGATCAGATCCCGGCAGCTACCTCGTACACATCCACAAGATGAGCTTGCGAAGGCTGCAGATTTCCCGGGTTCTCCCTGAACACAATAGCACTCACGTAGATGGAACAACATAGGAGCCCGAGCCCAAGCCCAAGCCTAAGCAATGTCAGTAGCAGTACCGGATCAGTTTCCCGGAGAGTACAGCTGCACAGGAGCAAGGTTCCCACTTACCGAGATTCTTGTGCCTCTGGTCGTCGCTCCTTATGGTCTATGGTCCAGAAGGGAGAATGCAGACAACTGGGAGTTGCCCCAGCTGGCCCCGAAGGAGCTACTTCCCAAGAAGGAAAATGGCGATGCCAATAGGGCTCTGTTGTTTGTCAAATGAACAACTTGGTTTCTGTTTTCTAACCGGAAAGGTGTGCTCTCTGAGGACTGCAGACACACCCAAATGCGTGCTCTCCTTCTCCTTCACATGCAGCAGTACATGAGCTCACATGTGAGCCGCCTGATTGTCGACCGTCCACATGAGTCAAGATGCGTCGTCAAGATAGCCGACAATCCCTCTTCCATTTCTCTTTTAGTAGGCGGGCAATCCATTGGCTAACATGTGTGTGAGGTCCTTGCGGTGGTATAGCACGGGTCCGCCTCACCGCCCGCTCTGTAGAGCACGCTTGCACACACCCAAACAGTGAGAGAGAGGGAGGACGCCGAAGGGATTACCGTCCAACGACTGGCAGCAGTAGATGACGTTCACAAGTCGAGGCTATTCACTGTCAGCCGTCAAGATGCATCGTCTCCATAGCCGACAATCCATTGGCTAACATGTGAGCTCGTTTTGCTGCTACCATCGTGGACCGGTTCTCCCCACCGCCCTGTGCGCTTTTTTTTTTCTTTCTTTTTATTTTCCTCTTTTCGTTTTTTTCTTCTTCTTTTTCTCCTACGCCTCCTCACCCTCGTCATCTTCTCCTTCTCCTCCTCCTTCTCCTCGCCATCTTTCCTTCTTCTGCTTCTCCTCCTCTCCTTCTCCTCCTCCTCCTCGCCATCCTTCCTTCTTCTTCTTCTCATCCTCCTCCTCCTCGCCATCTTTCCTTCTTCTTCTTCTTCTTCTCCTCCTCCTCTTCTCCTCCTCCTCTTCTTCTTCCTTTTTTTCTCCTCCTCTTCTCCTCCTCCTCCTCCTCTTCGCCTCCTCTTCTTCTTCCTCTTCTTCTCCTCCTCTTCTCCTCCTCCACTTCTTCTTCTTCTCCTCCTTTCCAACTCCTCGTCGTGCAGTTTTCGACGCGCGGCTGCCACGTCAACACCCGTTGTTTTTTTCTTTTCTTCTTTTCGTTTTCTTCTTCTTCTTTTTCTCCTGCGCCTCCTCACCCTCCTCATCTTTTCCTTCTCCTCGCCATCTTTCCTTCTTCTTCTTCTCCTCCTCCCCGTTTCCTCCTCCTCCTCGACATCCTTCCTTCTTCTTCTTCTTTTCCTCCTCCTCCTCGCCATCTTTCCTTCTTCTTCTTTTTCTTCTCCTCCTCCTCTTCTCCTCCTCCTCCTCCTCCTCTTCTCCTCCTCCTCTTCATCTTCCTCTTCTTCTCCTCCTCTTCTCCTCCTCCTCGTCTTCTCCTCCTCCTCTTCTCCTCCTCTTCTTCTTCCTCTTCTTCTCCTCCTCTTCTCCTCCTCCACTTCTTCTTCTTCTCGTCCTTTCCAACCTCTCCTCGTCGTACATTGCTTGTTGATGTTGCGCTGATCTTGCATTGTCCATTTGATTGATTGATTGATTGATTGATTGATTGATTGATTGATTGATTGATTGATTAGGATATACTAATTAGTCCCCAAATCGCGAAATTTTGACCTAACTGCCGAAATCGGAAAAAAAAATTGTTTTGGACTTCGTTTTCCCGCGAACTTTTTTGGTGGTAAATCGCAATAGTAGGACATCTGAAAGTTTCGTTTCTGAACTCGAAACTTCAATGCTAAAGAACCGGAATATTGCATCTTTCCGTCATTTCGAGACATCCCCGCGAAATGTTTTTACTTGAATTTTTTTTCGTGTTTCTGAAATTCAAAATTTCGCGGCAGAGAAGTCCGGGAATTTTTTTTTGAAAAAGTTTCGATTTTATCCCGTTACAAAAATTCCCGTTATTCCGAATTTTTTTCAAATTCGTTTTTCAATTCATTCTGAAATTCGTTTTTCATTTCCGAAATTATTTTTGAAATTCGTTTTCACTTCTGAAATTATTTCTGAATTTCGTTTTTCACATTCTGAAATTCGTTTTTTCATTTCCGAAATTATTTTTGAAATTCGTTTTTCATTTTCGAAATTATTTCTAAAATTCATTTTTCACTTCCTGAAATTTGTTTTCACTTCTGAAATTCGTTTTTCACTTTCTGAAATTCGTTTTTCATTTATGAAATTATTTTTCAAAATTTGTTTTTCGTTCCCGAAATTATTTTTAAAATTCGTTTTTCATTTCTGAAATTATTTTTAAAATTCATTTTTCACTTTCTGAAATTCGTTTTCACTTCCGAAATTATTTCTGAATTCGGTTTTCAATTTCAAAATTTGTTCTGAAAATTCGTTTCTCAATTTCGAAAAAATTTCGAATTTTTTTTTCTGAAATTCATTTTTATTTTCGGGAATTCCTCTTGCAAGCGTTTGCTTTCAAACGACGCATACTCTCACCTACGATATTCCGAATATTTTTTTTTTTCTTGCAAGCCGATTGATTGATTGATTGATTGATTGATTGGTTGATTGCTTGGTTGGTTGACTGGTTGGTTGCTTGGTTGACTGGTTGGTTGCTTGGTTGCTTGGTTGGTTGGTTGATTGGTTGGTTGGTTGGTCGGAAGGAGGGGGTTCACATGGCATGGACTGACACCTGTTGTTTGTTTTGCAATGTGTGCATGACATTTGGCAGTGTGCAATCGTGCTCGTGAAGTTTTCAACGGTGATGGTAAAGAACTTCATGAAGTTGTCTGCTTAGTGGGAACTATTGGGCCTGCTGATACTTCGGATGTTCCGAGCCGTGTCCACGTGAGTCACAGACTCACCATCCGCAGGTAATTCCGTTCCTGTGCAAGTTTTCGCAGGTGAGTGGTGTAGGAACTGACTAGTAACTACGGTCTGTGACTCGCAGCAAAGAGCCCGCACTCGCTGAGTCAGTTCCCGACTTCCCATCCACTGCGAATCCGACGCACCGCGATGGAGCCGTCTTCACATGAGGGGTTCAGCTCATCCGACAATTCCGACATGTCTGACCCCAAACGGAAAGATGCGTTAAAATCGCAGGACAAAAGCACCGGGACAGCAGGCTCGTCTGCGAAGACCAGTGATATGAAAAATTTGAAACTGACAATTCACACAGCACTCAAAAAAGGAGGACTCAACCCTCCATATATTATAAAAGACGAGTTGGAGAACATTTCCGGCGTTTGAAAATCGTTCGCCCATGTTTGTTTTCCTAATGGTGCTCCTGTGCAAAAACACTGCATCGGATATGTAGCTTGTAGACTGTCTCAGAGTGTATGCGTTCACTACCTCGCACGGGAGAAGCACCTTGCGACAGCATACGTGTCGCAAGGAACCGGAGGGGGCAGGCCTCATGTGCCTGTTTGCTACCTCTGTCGAGCCCACAGCAGCTCAAAAGAACAGGATGGCCAAAAAGGTTGTCATGTGGTACTGCAAAGATTTGCGGTCGTTCACCGTAGCAGAGGACCAGGGTTATTAGAGGTTGTGCAGGAGGCGTACGATATGGGCGTAGTAGTGGGTAAGTCCATGCAAATGGGGAAGGTGATGAGTGTCCGCAACATAGTGAAACGTCATGTTGTTGAGACAACATCCACTGTCCATGAGAAGGTGAGAGAACTGGTGCAGGACCATTTCAATGATGGTGAGCACGCAGGCTTCACAACGGACATGTGGACAGACGGAGTGAAAAAAAAATTGTTCATGTCTGTCACAATGCACTACATCGATCGCAATTTCAAATTGCATGTGCGCAATTTGCACGTCAAAGTTTTCCAAGAGGAATCGCATATAGGGTCGGTTGTTCTCAAGGCGTTTGAAGATGCCCTTCATGAGTTTGGATGCAAAGAATCTGACAGGTGTGTTGTGTGTACAGACAGTCGCTCAAACATGGCCGCAACAGAAGGAATCCGAAAAATTTACAAGTGGATTGTCGGCGCAGACCATAAAATTGCGACGGTACTAACAACCGTCTTCAACAAAACTTCAACCACAACAGACGGAGTTCGCTCGTCGCCATTCTACAGATATCACGAGTTTGCACCACACTTGTTTGAAATGATCGACAACTCGAAAGAGTTGATTCGATATTTCAAACAAGCAAACTTGCAGAACAGTCTGAGCAAGACGTTGAAGCAAGAAAACGTGACGCGGTGGAACTCTTTACTGATTTCACTGAATAGTATTTTGGACAGTTATGATGAGGTTACAACTGTGCTCTCCAGGTTTGCCAACATTAATCGGCAAGCCAACAAACAGTTCCTCGTCATAAGGATCGACAAGACCTCGCTCGCAGATCTGGTGCGATTCTTGAGACGATTCCAGACTGTCACACTGAAGTTGGAGCAGTACTTGGAGCCGACAATACACCTTGTGTCATTTGAGCAGAGTGCCCTTTCGGAGTATTGCAAACCTCGTAACGAGCCATACAACGACGAGGATGCCGAGGGCAACAAGTTCACCATTCCATCCGACAACGACGACATTGCAGCCATCAAGATGTTGATTAAGGATGTGCTGCGGGAGAAGTGAATATTGGAGGATCTTCACATTGCCGCAGCTTTGCTTGATCCGCGGCAGAAGGAGAGGTTGGAACGTTTCGGTTTGTCGGAAGCCGAGGTTGAGCGAGGGAAGAGCTGTTTGCAAGAGTTCATGTACAATGTCAAGGACTCGAGCGTTGAGCCAAGAGAAGAACATGTTGCAGCGGAGGGAAAGCGGCCAACAAAAAAGAGGAAGAAAGCACCCGAGAAAGAGATCCCTGACGAGTTCATATTGTGCAGTACGGACGAAGACGAGGAGGAGGACTTGCCCATCGCTCGAACTAGGCCGTTGACGTTGCCGCAGCGTATAAAAAAGGAGTTGGAATTCTACTTCAGCTTGAATTTGACAAAAGAAGAGAAACACAAGTTCGACATACTTGTGTGGTGGAAGGCGAAGGGGACTGTCGTAAAAAAGGAAGAGAACCAGTTGTTGATCCCGCCTTTACCGATCATGGCGCGTGCTGCTCGTGCGATTTTGTGTGTTCCCGCATCGAGTTCGAAGAGCGAATGCAATTTCTCCGATGCAGGGAACATCGTCACGAAGAAAAGAAATCAACTTAATCCGTTCATTGTCGATGATGTCCTTTGTGTTCGCTCGAACTACGACGTGCTGTCGTGATGTGTGTTGTAGCTTTGCATTGTTTGGAGGCTTCCGTTTGCCTGACATAACTGGAATAGTTTTTGCAGGTGACTATCTTCTGGGCACTTGATATGGGAGTTGTAATTCTGCAGATTTACAAATTCGGTAAAAAATAACATTTTTCTCTAATTTTTATTTTCTCGATTTTGTAAGAGACAAATTTTATTTCTTGCTTTCGATTGTTCCTCTAGTGCAATGGTGGATTTCATATTTGTTCTGTTAATCTTTTTTCTATTTTTTATATTTGTCTGAGTGTTGGTCGGAGTGTTTATCTGAGTGCTGGTCTGAGTGTTGGTTTGTGTGCTGGTTTGAGTGTTGGTAGTGTTGGTCTGAGTGTCGGTCCGAGTGCTCGTCTAAGTGCTGGTTCGAGTGCTGTTCCAAGTGTTGGTCGGAGTGCTGGTCCGAGTGCGGGTCTGAGTGCTGGTAGTGCTGGTCTTAGTGCTGGTCTGAGTGTTGGCTTGAGTGTTGGTCTGAGTGCTTGTCCACGTGCAAGTGTGAGTGATGAACTGAGTGCTGGTCTGGATGGTGGGAAAAGCCATCGGGCAGAAAAAAAAATTCGTTGAGCCTGGGCCCGGTAGACCAACAAAAATGGGGGTGTACCGCGTTATGTGCAAGGATCCCATAAAAAATATATATATCATTTGGACAAAAAAAAGAAAATTGCAAATGTAAGGACCTGCCCAAACACGGACAAGAACATGTAGCTGATCTGTGAACTTTGCTGATGGAATGGATGCTTTGCTGAGAATCCCGCATGTTTGCTGAGTTTTCAGAGGTGATTGGGGACAGTTGGGGATAGTTACGAGAAGTTAGAGGTGATTGGGGACAGTTAGGGGCGGTTAGGGGAGATTGGGGACAGTTAGGGGCGGTTAGGGATSGTTGGGGACAGTTAGGGGCGGTTAGGGATGGTTGGGGACAGTTAGGGGCGGTTAGGGATGGTTGGGGACAGTTAGGGGCGGTTAGGGATGGTTGAGGACAGTTAGGGGTGGGTAGGGATGGTTGGGGACAGTTAGGGTTGGGTAGGGGTGGTTGGAGACAGTTAGGGGCAGTTAGGGGAGGGCGGGTCACAAGTGCGGATGGTTACATGTGGGTGCATACAATTGTGGGTGGGTACAGGTGGGTAGGGTTGAAAAACAAATTGGTTGGGTAGGGTACAGGTGGTTAATACAAGGTTTGGGTACGGGTGGTCATGGGTACTTGTACTTTTCAAAAAGAAAGTCCATGGACAGTTATGGGCAGTTACAGTATGAAGGGGATCAGGTAGGGCAGGTATGGGTACACTTTTTTTTTGGGGGGGTGGGTAAGGGTGGGTAAAGGTCATATATGCCATGTATACAGTGGGTATGGGTGGTTAGTTTTCTAAAAGGGTGTGGGTAGGTAAGGTAAAGGTATTCCAAAAAATACCAGTTGCCACCTCTGCGGCCGATCCACCGTGGATTTTGCTGCGGTAAGAGCCGGAGTCCAGAGTTTTGGGGCGCGCGCATCCGGATTCGGAGTTAGATTCACGCGACAGTTAGTGTAGAAGGAGCTTTTTAGAATATATAGTGCGAGAGAGGTGACGAAGGAAGAGAAGGAACGAGATCGTGCGCTCCCGTTCCTTAACGGATTCCGGCAAGATAAAACCCGAATCCGATGTTTTGGAGGAAGCCGAGTTAGACTGTGAAGTTGGTTTTCGGTGTTAGTAGGCATTTTTCGAGACACAACAGGTGGGGCTGCGCCCAAATGGATGGTCGGGTTGAAAGGTAGCAAGAAACTTCCCATGTTTTGGGGAAGATTCATCCTCCCTCAGCATGCTTGATGGGAGGGTGAACCACGTGGTATAGACGAGCCTGAAGAAGGGTTTTAGTGGTGGAAGAGTTAGTAAGTTGGGAATAAGTGGGAAGGGAGATGACTGCAAGAAGCTATGGGGGATGAAGAAGTGATGAGGGAAGAAAGTCGAGGTCGCGCTCGATCTTTGATGAAATCGAGTGGAAGGAGGTGGTGAGTCGGGGGTTCCAACCGGGTGACTACGTTACTTATCCTTGTGTTCATTTCGATCCTTACTTTGCCTATACTTTCAGGTTCTCTTCTGCTCGCTACCTCAGTTTGGCTGGCTTGGAGCGAACCGGGGCGGGCTCGATAGCTAAGTGTGCTCATGCGCTGAAAGCCGCAACGAACCGCAAAAGGAGCGGAGAAGGGGGGGGGATTTGCCCATTCATAGCGGTAGTTACTTTTTTTGGTTAAGCCTTTGTGAGAAGTACCAGCTTGCATGACTATAATCGAGAGAGAGAGGGAAAGAGGGCTTACCTCGAAAGGCGAGTTGGAGATACATGATGAACCGAAGCTTGAAGCAACAGTGCTGAGCAGTAGGGGCAACAACGGAGAAGCGGCACAGTTTGCATCTTTGACTGAGCAGATTTGAAAGGACGGGCGAACTACCAGTAGGGAGTGGGAAGCAAAAAAAGGGGTGAACAAAAGTGAGAAAGCAGAGGTGTAGACTTACCTGTTCGGCTGATATACTGCAGCAACTAAAAAATCGGTGGCGAGATTTGCAGACTTACATGTATACCGGTGTGTTGCCCTGTTCCTTGAACGAAGCGGCATGATATGGACTGACAGCACCAGGAAGTCCACCTGTCAACTGTGCGTTGCCCATCCAGACTAGTAGAAGCAGAGCGAAGCCAGCAACGAGACTGAGGGGTTAGCTGTTGGCGTGGTGTGCCTACGAGCACTCTGGCCATAGCTCCCTGTGACTGATCGTTGCCCCATGTGTCACAGAATAGGCCGTGTGCGTCTAACTGTGCGCACATTGCACTGTGGGGCTGTAAATGGGCTAGTAGAACCAAGTCGTGTAGCCTACCCCAACCTCCAGAAGGAGTGTTTCTAAACTCTCCTTGAGCTACCCGTGTCTGGCCGAGGTCGAGTCAAGATCCGGTTAGGAACTCAGATACTGCATGTTAGGGAGATAAGCTTGAGCACAGAGAAGGAGGAAGCACTAGCACAGAGAAGGAGGAAGCACTTACAGGAAGGGGCATCATCTGTCGGTCATGACTTGTTGCGAGAAGTCGGAATGCAATCAAGATTGTTTGGGTACAGGAGACATTGGGCTGCGCGGCTTTGGGGAATTGTAAAAGGATAGTGTGGCTATGCCCTGCAGCGGAACTTATTGTGGCAGCTTGACTACAGTTGATTAAAGGAGGCTGCGTCTTGCTGTGCATTGCTATGCATCGCCAACATCCGGATAAAGTGTAAGGGAGGTGTGCACTATTGAGCGCGGCGGTGCTGTCTGAGATGGAGGTAATGGAACTAGGTGGTATGATCAAGCTTGCGAAGGGGGTTATTGCTGTGAACTAAGAGGTCGTCAAAGGGTTGACTTCGGCAGTTGACTCCAGCTTTGACCAAACTGATACGTGTCTTGGCTACCATTGTGGGGCCCTCAGGCGCATGAAGGAAACAAGGCCCTCTACTGGGAGTTGAGTCAGTCTCCCTCTTGTATCTCGAGAGTCTCAGACCCCTTACTTTTGCCCTTCTTACTCTAAGTCTAGTCCAGTTCTGAGAGGAAGGCGGCAGGCGGGATTGCAACCCGTAGGACCGCAGCAAGACTCTGTGGGGAGTCAGCCCACCGATTGCGGGAGCTCTGCCGGAACTCAGGAGGAGAATTGAGAGGTAACCTTTCATCTCCTTCTATCAACCCAGTTATAACCCTTAACTGCACCCCTTGCTATGCTTTGACTAAGTATACTTCATGGCCCTACTTTGACTTTTCAGCTTGACTTTCAGGATATAACCAGACTAAGTAAAGGAGTGTATGTGCAATATCAGTTTCAGTTTTATTGTTTGACTTAAAGCAGATTGTGGGATTGCATATGGGGGAAGGATTGGAGAAGGGTTGTATTGCTTGTGTCTGACTGGGTATATCAAAGGTTGGACAAGTCTCCATAAGTTTGGGGAGGCGCAGTGCTCTGTTTATTTTGAATTGCCTGGAGAACCAGACATGTTCCATAAGTTTGGGTGGTCTAGTTGCTCTGACTTGTGAGGGCTGAATGTGATTGAGTTTCAGGGACCAAGCATGTTCCATAAGTTTGGGTGGCTTGGTCGTCTGGTTTACTTCGGGTTTCTTTCAGTTTCTTTAGTTTCTGAACGAGGAGGTCTGAACATGTTCCAAAATTTTTGGCAGCTCAGCCTCTTCCTGCTTTGGTTTTAGAAGAAATGAACCAGGTTGAGGACGAAGACATGTTCCGTAAGTTTGGGTGGTTTTGGTCCAACGCCACTCACATGCTTAAACCAGAAGGCTATAACTTGACTATACTTTATTACTATCTTACTTATGAACAGGCTAGTCAGACAGGTTTCTATAAGTTTGGGTGGTCTGACTATAGCTTATACCAACTGAAGAGAGTACTAATTAAGA